TCTTCCTTCCATACTCGTCTACATGTTGAATGTATTGTTTCACTGCAATTCTCTTTAACGAAATACAAAATGTTTGGAGGCTTTTAAATTTATAAGGCTACTGTATAGCCATATTCCATTGTGTGTTGGATGCATAAATATTTATTTAGGGAAATGAGGTTGTGTAGAAGAACAAACAGAAAAGAGAGTATTTTATTACACAACATTGCTTTTGCGGAATCTCCATCTCCCATCTTCCATTAATAATGCCACAGTTTATAAGCTGCATTAAATCAGGAGCCTCTGCAATGCAGGAATATGGCATGAGAATTATAGCAATGTAGAAAACTCTGGGTGAGATCAGAATTCTCTCCACCACGGTTGTACCCTGTGGGTGGATAAACCATACAGGAGAATTAAATCAGCAAACACAGGAGAGCAAAGAAGAGCAGGAACACGTGCCAGTTAGAGCACAGGGCAAGAATCAGCTCCTCCAGGATGCGGGTCCTGCCAGGCTGGTGCTGTAACAGCTTGAATATAGTACACATGTAAAAAACATAAGTAAACAGCCCATGAAGTAACAGGAGACTCGAGGCAGCAGCGGCAGGAGTGAGACCAGAAATCCAGTGAGAGAGGTGAAACCCAGCAGGAGGAGGGCTCTGCACCAGGAGTCCCACCCACCCTGGGAGCCACCTTGCCTCCCACCAGCACCAGAGGACAGAGAGATGAGATCTGGGGGGAGGTTGGGGTTGATGAACACTGCTCTCCTCGCTCACCCTCTCCCTCTCTCCCCTGCTCAGACGCGTACGTGAGAGGATCGGGCTCCTCGACCTCCAAGGCCTGCACCCTCTCAGCCATCAGCACCATCATGATCTCGCTCACAGCTCGCTCCAGTTTATGACAACAATGACACACTGGACTTCTTGTTTATGATATAAGCAACATTTAGCTAGTTGTTTCGAAGACACCCAGTACTAAGTAATATTGTGGTTTGAGTACACCTTACTACTGGAAAAAATGTTTATGCTTCTTTAGGAATGGCATTATACAGTACTTCCTCAAAGCAAATATAGCTTTGTCTGAAGTTTCCTTGGAAACTCTGCAATGCACTGAAAACATCTGTAATATGATGTTACCAAAGCAGTTTACATATGTCCTTATATGCATATTTTTTATTATATATTTAGTGTTTTATAGAATTTTTTAAAGTTAACATATGATGTAGATATTAATTTTTCCTCTGCTATAAAATGCTATGGACAACGTTATCATGGAAATATTGTTTGGAATCTTTTCCTTTATGATGGAGAATTCAAAGTTGTTCTTAGCAAATGGGCTGCGACGTCACTGCACGGTTTTACGAGGCTACACAAGGCAGAACTGCTCCAGGCTGGGCTGGTAACGTCTTTAAACGGCAGTTACAGTGATTCTTGTGGTACATCAGGTGCTCACAACACACCAGATGTTTTGTTTCATCCAGAGGTCTAACAGGACAAACTCGAAATGCTCGGTGAGAACGTCAGAATCTTGAAACAAATCCATGGTTGGTTGTGGACTACAGGAGACGTAGCGAATATTCCAGCATCTTGCAGCAAGGGGCTGTCTTGAAATAGCTTTGTCTTTATCATAATTAGCATCCAGTTGATAGGAGTGAAGATACTGCAAAGAAGTGATCTCTGCCTCTAGTGACCAAAAGGGACAGGTCCGCAGAAGAGCAAGCAAATGGTGTGGTTCTCACCTTAGGGCAGAAACCTGGTAAATCCTCCTGGCTTCAGGAGTGTTTCTTCCAAGAAAATCAACACACAGCAGCTCCAAGAGGTGAAGCTGCCCTGGGCTCATTGTGTGAACACACACTTGCCTTTGCCACACACCAGAATGTCACCCACCAGCCTTTGGAATGGAAAAAAGCTTGGGAAATTGGGCTGCACCAGGAGCCCGGGAGGAGCCGTGCCAGGTTGTCCTGGTGGGGCTCTGCTGGGATGGCTGCAGTTCTGTAGGAACTCCCCACAGACACTTGAAGGCAAAACAGAGTCACGCTGGAAAACAACAATCTCCACAGCAAAAGAATTCTTCTTCAGAGAAGGACTGTTTGTTACCACAGGGTAATTTTGTAAGTTCACTCAGATGGGAAAACGCTCGGAAAAGGCAACGGAATTTTCTACAAAATTTTCAAGTTGAAATGCGCTGCAGTGGTTTATTATCTATTTTTTTTTCCTGATAGCTTGAATTTGCCTGTAACTTGTCTTTTTTGCTTACAAAATGATACCGTTAACTTTTAGACCTTCTAAATATATTTATTCAGTAACTCATAATCAGGATTCCACTTGTGTAAAAGTCAGGGGTGTTGACCAGAGAAATATTGTCAGTATTTCAAGCTGTGTTCCTTTCTTAGTTTGATATGGTTATTCTATGTAAAAACAAACAAACAAAAACAAACACAACACAAAAAAAACCCAAAAAAACCACAAAAACAAGAAAAAGGAAACAAAAAAAAAAGCTTCTGTAGTTTTCTCCCCAGTGTAAATGATATTTATCAGTGATCTAGCAGATGTAATCTTTTTTTAAAGGTATTGGTAATAAATATTCTGTCATTTGTAAAGATACCTGTTTTCGAGGAGCGTTTTTCCTCCATGTTTTGTTGTACCCAGTGACAAACTTCACCAAAGCTCGAGGCAGCACCTGCTGGGCTTGTCACCAATGTGAAGATATGAAGGAGAAGAGTCGGTCTGAGCCAAAAATTGGTGACAGCAGACGAAGAAATATCTATATCTGTACATCTCTGGTTTGAAATTGCTACCGAAACTGGCAAAAAAGACCATCAACCTGGATGATGTAGAGTCTATACATTCTATTGATGTAGAGTCACGGCTTTTCCAAGTGCCTGTGGGCTGGTGCCAGCAGAGTGGAGCCTCTGCAGCCTGGGAAGCCCAGGGTCTTGCTGAGAGGTGAAAAGAAGGGAAAAATCCAAACAGACTGAAGTGGCATTTACTGTCCCAGTGAGTGGCCGCGGGGACGGGCAGTGGGAGAGCAGAGCAACACCAGCCTTGCCCTGAGCAAACCCCTTCCAGGCTCATTTATTATGCCTATTTTTAGGCTCTAGCACCTGGGAACTTCCATTACTTTTGGCACAATTTACTTACTGAGTCAAATCTTTCTTTTTATTCCTTGTTAAGGTGCTTATCCCCACCTCTGGCCAGCTCGGCGGAGAGGAGGTTTCTTGGAAGTCAAGGGACTGAGCAAGAACAGGAGAGCTTCATGGTCCACAGCCTGAGAGGTCAAAGCTCGGGTTGTTCAAGTGGTTTCAGGGGGGTTTATTTGGTAACTCACACCATGGATTACACAAGGTATGTAAAAAAAATCAGAAACAGCAACTGACGCTGTCTCAAACAGTTTGTTTCAGATGGAACAACAGATAGAGAAGAAAAACATATTGCAGAACTGGGCTTGGGTTTTTCCAAACTACCTGAAGGAGGCTGGAGCTGCACACGGAGGGGGAGCCCAACTCCTTGGGGCTCAGAAGGTCTCCAGAGAGCACCAAGAAGTCCTTGGCACATTTCTTTAATTGCTGTACAGTTGAAAACTCTGCATTTCCAAGCTGTTTTGTTTTTTAAGTGCAATTGAGGAAGTTGATTGGTTTGTCCCATTTTTATAATCTTGTTTCTTTCTTTTTTCCCCCTTGAGCTTTATTCTCTCATGCCAGGAGGCAGGTCGGCCACTGCAGCAGTTCATACAGCCCAAGCTGGGGATGTTTCAGCCCCCCAGAAACCTAGGTATTAAAAATGCCTCGTTTCTTCTGCAAACTGTCACAAATCTTACAAGAAGGAAGAAAGAACATGACTAAAAGTTCCACAAACCAGAAGAGGAATAAAGAGCCAGGACTCCCATGTGCTGGGCAGTCAGGACACCTGAGGAGAGGCGTGGAGCAGGCACCAGGAACTGTTGGGCAAGGGTCTTTGTCCACATGGCTGCCAAACTAGACTTTTTTACCAATATTCTGGAACCTCACAGAAAAAGCCTGAGGGTGGGAGTGCTCCCCACCCCAGGTCTCACCATGTGCCTGGCACAGCAGGGCCTGGGCTGGGAGCTCTTCAGTTGCCCATGGCTCAGGAGTGGGACAGTCCTGTCAGTTTTTTGCAGTGTTTCATAGCTATTTCACAAAAATAGTTTTAATTCCCAAGCTGTGCCTTTGCTGTAGGATTAGGTGTGGCTTCTCACGGGTCTGCAGCTCACCCAACCCATGCAGCAGCCCAGGCCACCTGAAAAACCCACCATGCACACCAACTGAGGTTTCAGGAGCTGTGCCTGCAGCAGCAAGATGCCAGCTGCCTGCACAGAAGTAACAGGACTCTAGTTGGGCATCAGTCCTGTAAGCAAACTAACTGTCCTTGTCTTAAACAGCCTGTAAAATCCAGAGGTTTATAAAGTCCTGCAGCTGCCAGCCTCTTCCCAGCAGCCAAGGCTGGAGCTTGTTAAGGAGCTGTAAGTGCCCCTGCACACGGGGGATACAGCCCGGCCTTTGCCCTGTTCCACAGTGCCCATGAGGAGCTCAGCTCCAGGCTTGCTCAGCACAGCCAGACACTTCCCTGATCAGGGACCTGCATTTCCATGGAGGTTATTCAGGTTGTTTGCTGAATTCTTGCTCTTTCATGACACAGGGTCCTAGTGAGGGCTGTGTGAGTGCCCACTCCCAGGCCAGCTGTGCTGTGGCTGTGCAGCACTGGGGATGAAGGCTGGACCAAGTCCCAGTTTGCATAATGAATTGTCAGAGTTATTTAAAGCAAAAATCAAAAAGATTCAGCTGTCAACAAGAAAAAGAAAAAGCCATTAGCTCTTTTCCAGATTATTTTTTTTTCCTACCCAGGTACCATGTGCTTACACCCTGCTTCAACTGTGACTTTCTGTTTAATAGCTTATGGTCATGCAAGGCACCTCATGGAAGCAAGTCCTCCTCTCCCTTGGAAAGGCCACCACAGTGGAGGTGACATGAAGCTGGCTCTGGCAGTGCTGGGTGGTGTCCCCTCTCAGAAGACAGAGTCATCCAGGACACTGCAGTAAAGATCTCCAGCGAAGCTGATGGACTCGGTCTCGGTCTCGGTGGTGCAGGTTCGTGCTCTCTGCAAAGCAACAACTGCTGTGAGCTGCTGTGCTAGGAGCTCAGCAGAGCTTAGCAACTAAACTGCACTAAGTAAGACAGGGAAGTCACCACAAATTGTTCTAAGCCTGTGTTAAATATTTGTTAGGAAACAAATGCTCCACAGCCCTAGCTGAATGTGTTTTGCAAAAAAGCTGATGCATTTAAAGGGGGATTCACCCCAAATGTTTATGAGGTAAAAATCAAGAAAGCATTGGGTTTAAAA